AACTTCAGACGGGCCTGGATCATCCATGTGCTCTCTGGCAAACTTCAGACGGGCCTGGACATGCACTGGCTTCAGCAGTGGGACACGTCTGGCACTGCAGGATTTGATTCCCTGTCGTCGTAGTGTGTTACTGATGGTAACCTTTGTTACTTTGGTCCCAGCTCTCTGCAGGTCATTCACCAGGTCCCCCCGTGTGGTTCTGGGATTTTTGATCACCGTTCTCATGATCATTTTGACCCCACAGGATGAGATCTTGCGTGGAGCCCCAGATCGAGGGAGATTATCAGTGGTCTTGTATGTCTTGCATTTTCTGATAATTGCTTCCACAGTTGATTTGTTCACACCAAGCTGCTTGCCTATTGTAGATTCACTCTTCCCAGTCTGGTGCAGGTCTACAATTCTTTTCCTGGTGTCCTTCGACAGCTCTTTGGTCTTGGCCATAGTGGAGTTTGGAGTCTGACTGTTTGAGGCTGTGGACAGGTGTCTTTTATACAGATAACAAGTTCAAACAGGTGCCATTAATACAGGTAACGAGTGGAGGACAGAAGAGCTTCTTAAAGAAGAAGTTACAGGTCTGTGAGAGCCAGAGATCTTCCTTGTTTGAAGTGACCAAATACTTATTTACAAATAAATTCTTTAAAAATCCTACAATGTGAATTCCTGGATTTTTTTTTCACATTCTGTCTCTCACAGTTGAAGTGAACCTATGATGAAAATTACAGACCTCTGTCATTATTTTAAGTGGGAGAACTTGCACAATCGGTGGCTGACTAAATACTTTTTTTCCCCACTTTTATTTTTGATATAAGAAGCGCAGGTGAAGAGAGCTTCCAGAGCACCACAAAGTCTCCAAAACGTGCTGCCCTCTATAGACCCACATCCCTCTACATGTGACACGCCAATAATGAGCAAGATCGACGTGTCAAACCCAGCCACAGTGCCAAAGAGGAAGAACCCGAGGCCGGATTGACCGCCACAGGTCTGAAGCTGCTACAGAAAACCGAGTTCCTTTTACAGAACCTAGCGCCCTGATGTGCAGCCGGGACTGTTTTATTTCAAATGTTTGCTGAATGTTGATGTTTGTGGAAAAAGATGTACTGGTGGAGATGCTTGGGTCGAGGGTCAGAAACAAATGACCAATGATCCAACTCTGAACGTTCCTCAAGAACACACTGCTGGAGGTCTATCGCAGAGTGAAAGCTTTCAACATTTAGTTCAATTCTTTTTTTCAAGTTGACTTTTAATGTTTTTCTAGCAAATTTTGCAGGTAATAAACTTGAAACTCAACAGGACTTCATCATTTTTACGACGGTAACACACTGTAAAGCACAAGACGGGCCACAATTTTATTTTCTGCTGATTTCACAACACCTTGTAGTCAATGCTGGCGAAATCACTACAATTTGTAATATGTTCTGAACAAGTTACTATTATGTACATTTTTTATATCTGTAATACAATATTACTGCGGGCGTGGCCGTTATACTGCCTACACACAGTCGTGTTCGTGATACTCTCTTGGTTTTGGTTTCACGTCTTTCAGGAGCAGAAACATCTATAGTCTCACACAAATAACACTTTATTTTTTGTGTTTCCGCCTCTTACATGAATGTTTAGAAACACGGAGTGGAAAAGCACCTGGACTTAACTGGACTATATTTAATAACCCAGTCTTTCCTTTTGAAGTTAACATTATGAGTTCCTTTTTAACTAGGGAAATATTACTGTTCCATGCATACTGATATGTACTTCAACTCTTGAATTTTGTTTATTTATCAACTTATCACCCGTCTTTTATGATTAATTCGACATGCATCAACTAGAAGGAAGGAAAATAAAAGTGCATTCTATGTCCATAGTTGTACTTCAAGTAACTTTGTTTCCAAGAGGTCCGTCTCTGGGCCATGGCATGAATCTATATCAAATCTAATATACTCATATATTATTCATTATTTATAAATAATATTACTTATTTATACTATATATATTATTATTATATATTCTTTATTATTATTATATATATATATAATACTTCTTATTATATATATCATATTATTATTATTATTATATATAATAATATTATTATATAGAATATATATACTATTATTATGTATCTATCATATATATAATCGTATATATAGATTTTTATTTTTTTAGTGGGGTAGCTGTACATCTGTTTTCACTCTTAATATGTGATCCAAGAATTAAAATCTGTTTACTAGGCATGTGGCGACAGGCGAATATGCAAGTAAAATTGAGCGACATGTTTGAGGGCCCCTGGTTTAGGTATATAGACATCAGTGAATATGTCGCGATTTTCTTGTTTGTGACCTCTCCTTTACTATGCCAATACAAAGAATGATTATTGTCAAATTGCAGTATTCTTGCTTCAAGTTCTGTTTCACATGTCCCCTTTTGGCGCATGTTTAGTGTGAGTGGGTGGAGCTCTCAGACGCTGCATGAAACTTATATCCTATCTGTTCCTAGTCTCCTGTGCTTAGTACTACATTAAGCGCCATCTTGTTGTTAGCTGCTACCGTAAGTGGTGGATTTTGCCTCTGGGGGGTGTCCTATTACATCTAGCCCATATATACTGGAAACTCTCCCTGTAATACTAGGGCGCAGTTCGCGTTTGTGCTTGTTTTTTCTTCGCGTTTTTTAAACTCTACACTAGTTCGGGATGAGCATCGATACGCTCCCTGGATGCGGCCAGTTTTTAGAAATACAAGCTCTGCAACAGAAAGCACGTGGTAAGTGGCAATACGATTACTTCGAATACTCAAACAGGGTGATTCGATACAGAGGTGAACTGTGGTCAGAAAGGACTGTTTCTCTGCCACTATGTGCATTCACAGGACTGTACGATACATTACATTAGCTTTAACAAACGGTTCCATGCTTGTTATTGTGTACTTTGTTGTGTCAGTGCGCGCTGTTTAGTCGGATTCCTCCCTTGGATTACTCGCATTAAGATGTTTGTTTCTCCCAAGTTGTGAGTTTTGGATCATTGATTCAGAATGGATCTGCTTTCAGTTCGCCCCACTCAGCCCTTTTGATGTTCCATCTAACCGACTTTATGCACCATATGAGAGTTAAAAACAAAAGGGCAGAGGACCCTGCTTTGCGCATTCAACTTTGAGAATATAGAATATGATTGATCAGGGCGGTGGCGCGGGGAAATGCTCTTTTACATAAGGACCTTGACCAGCCTTGACACCGTTATGGCGTGGGTCTGCTGTGATCTATGTGCTAAATGTGCACACAGTGAGGCATAAGCGGAGTGTTGTGGCAGGAGACTGTTCTGTAGATGTTTATTTATTTTATCTTGTGCACAAGATTAGCGCGTAGTATCTTGGAGTGGACGTCAGCTCACACCCCGCCCCTTTCACCACGTGCGTTCCGGACAACCCCGACATAGATTGATTGTAAAGAAGATTCTTCAATCCCTATTATTGAGCAGTAGACGGGGAAAAACTCTCTATGCTCAATACTGAAGTCGTGATTATTTCAGACTACTGTATTAACTCGTGCGGGCAAGAATAGTACCATGTTGTTCGCCTTCCGCTGTGACATGCCATCAAGTGAGAGCTCTACTGCCCACCAGAATCTGCACGTGTAGCCGTAGAGCCCGCGCCTCCAGTAGAGAAGGCGCCAATAGGGCACTTTACATTTGCAGTTATATAATGGACACAGATAACAACTCATTATGTTATAACGAAATGCTGTGGTTCTCTAAAAAAAAAAGAACACAAGCAGTGTTTGCATAAGCACCAGCAACCCCAATAGTTAAAGTCTTAATAATTGACGTTCCAGCGATTAAAAATAAGAAGTCGTTTGACTAGACACAACACGCGGTTGTTTTAACGTTCATCATGCACTGGACAATGTTGCAGCAGATAACATTCGTAGAAAGCAATAGGAGTTATCCACTTTCTTGAACCCTGCACTAGTTATGCACTACACAACCCCTCTTTTCCTCTTACGCGTCCTTATTGTTTAAAATGGTCTGAATACACATTGGATACAAACAAATGGCCTGGACTGAAGTTTGGCCTCTGGTGATCACTTTACTCTTAATTCTAAGTGGAAACAGTCAGCTACAGAGAAAGATCAGAAAGCCAAACGTATGCGTACATATTGAAAGTTATTTCTAGCTGGTGTCTGGGGATTTGATCTATTTGACTGTAGAATGATCTTGCAATGTTTCTGGAATTACTATATAGGGACCAGTAACAAAAGCCAAAAGCTCTCAGCAGACCCATGTAAATTCCTCTGTATTTATTTTGGGAAATTGTTTGAAACTCAAAACTTCCACCAAATAAGTACATGTCAACTCGACTAGGCTATTTCAATAATGTTTAAGTTGATTGAAAAAGGGGGACACATCTTTCTATTTTATTCTTTCACAATTAACTCAGTTGTTTGATTTAGATTTATAAAAAATAAATAAATCCTGTGACAGGCAACTTTGTGGCAGAGTCCCTTGCAGTAGTAATTACATTTACCACACAGTATTACACTGGGAAAAAAACGTAACAAATGGTTAATGTGTTTCTTTTGGACAGAGATGGATTTAAGGAAAAAGCTACTACAAGCGCCAAAGACCCCTGCGACGAAGTTACAGCTCTTGAATAGAACAAAATCCCAGGGAGTGCCGCGTCCAAACTTGATACGACCCCCAAAGCCACCAGCCTCTGTTTGCCCTGTGCCTTATCCCAAGTCACCCTCTACCTGTGGTCACTCCCAGTCATGGAGCTTTACCTATGGCCACGCACACGCTCCACCTGCCGACCTCTGCCCTCCACAAAGAGAGAGTTTTCACAGGAGCAGACCCTATTGGCCCACAGCCCACCTCTGCCTGGGTTCTGATCATAAACCTTCTGCAACGCATCACAGCACTTCTTTGCTCAAACGGCTAATACTAGTGTTCAGCAGCAGAGGCCCTCAGTTCACCGCTTCCCTTGCTTCCATCGTTTCTCCCTCACAGTCTCAGGCTATACCTCCTCAGCCGGCTCTTTGCCTTGCAGCCGCCCCCTCATGAACGGATCTACCCAACCAAAGCTGTGCCCCTCGATGGAATCCCACTTCTGAGGCCGTAAAGGCGTCCTGGCGGGTAGGGAAAATGTCTTTTTTAGAACTTTTTGAGATCTATGAGATAATTACATGCTCATATTCAAAACAAATGTGTTTTATGTTAAAGGGCAGGTAGCCCCCCCCCCCCCCCTCCCCCCCCCCCCCCCCCCCCCCCCCACCCCCCCCCCCCCCCCCCCCCCCCCCCCCCCCCCCCCCCTGAGAGGTCCCAAACAAACTTGAGTAGAACAGGTAAATACAATTGTTTTACCAGTGAGAGCTTGGGCTGGGGGCAATACTAGGCCTGGGACCCGAGTCTGCTCACTTTGAAAGCCCTGGGGGACTATGGAGCATATGACGCCGGAATATCAGACTGGATTCCAGGCTAGTATTGCCCCCAGCCCACGCACTCACTGGTAAACATTTGAATTTACCTGTTTTCTCAAGTTTGTTGTGGATTCTGCTTTGGTACCTGCCCTGTAACATAAAACACATTTGTTTTGAATATGAGCTGTTATTTCTTACTCATAGAGCTCAAAAATTTCTAAAAAAGGGACATTTTCCTACCCGACAGGACGCCTTTTACTGTCCAAGATGTTGGGAATGGTCATCGAGGGGGCAGCTTTGTTGGGTGATCCGTTCTTGGATCGGGGGCCTGCTGCAGCAAAGTGGCCGGGTAGATTCTGAGGAGGTTTCTCCCGCCATACGGTAGTGCCCCTGAGACCTCGCTGAGGGAGAAACGATCGGAGCCAGGGAAGCGGTGTATACCTGAGGGCTCTGCTGCTGATACACTAGTTTTACGCCGTTTGCAGCAAAGAATCGAGCTGTTGTATTGTCGTGCACAGAAAGGGGTTTGATCGATCAGAACCACAGGGCAGAGGTGGGCTGTGTGGTCCAAGAGGTCTTCTGCTCATGGTTGAACACTCTCTCTTTGTGGAGGGCAGAGGTGCGGCAGTTCGGAGGGAGTTGTGGCCATAGGTAAAAGCTCCATGACCTGGGCAGTCGACCACAGGTAGAGGGATGGACTGGGATAGGCGCAGAGGCAACAGAGGCTGGAGGCTTTGGGGGGGGTCGTATCAAAGCTGGACGGCACTCCTGGGATTTTGTTGCTATTACTATAGCTGGTAACTTCTCCAGGGGTCTTTGGTCTTGTAGTAGTTTTCCTTAAATTCTTTTTTCTTGTCAAAAGAAACACATTACACCATTGTGTTACAGTTTTTTCCCAGTGTTTACTGTGTGTAACTGGTAATCTACTTCAGGGACTAGCCACAAGTGCCTGCACTCAGGATTTGAATTGATTTTTTATATATTCTAAATCAAAAACTACGCGTTTATGTGATAGAATATACTAAAACGAAGTGTCCCCCTTTTTTCAATCAACTTAAACTATTACTTTAACTAGCGCCTAGCTCGAGTTTCGGACTGTAATTTATTTGTGAGTTTGGAGTTCAAACATTTCCAAAAAAAATACATGAGGGGATGTTTACATGCGGTTCTGCTTAGAGCTTTTTGCTTTGTTGTTACAGGTCCCTATATATATTTCCAGAAACATTTTGCAAGATATATATCTACAGTCAAAATAGATCAACTCCCCAGGACACCAGCCTAATCTAACATCAATATGAGCAAACGTTGGCTTTGATCTTTCTCTGAGCAGACTGTTTCCACTTAGAATAAGAGGTAAATGCCGTCACCAGAGGCCAAAACTTCAGGTCCAGCCATTTGTTTGTATACCAATGGTGTTTTCAGACCATTTAAACAATTAGGACGACGGCTCTTAGGAGGAAAAAGGGGGTTGGCCCTTTTAGTGATAGACTAGTGCCTGGGTTCAAGAAAAGTGGATAACTCCTATTCCGCGTTCTTTACGAGGTTGTCTCTGCAACATTGTCAGATGCATGATGAACGTTTTAAAACAACCAGCGTGTTGTTGTTCCTATCAACTGATCTTCTTATTTTTAATCGCTGGAAACGTCAAATATTAAGACTATACTAATTTGGGGTTGCTGTGCCTTATGCAAAATACCTGCGTGGTGTTCTTTTTTTTTTTAAGAGAACCACAGCATCTTCGTTTAAAACAAATGAGTTTTCTGTGTCCATTATATACTGCAAATGTAAAGTGCCCTTAGTTTGCCTGTTCTCTACAGGGAGGCGCTGCTCTCTACGGCTACACGTCAGATGCTGGTGGGCCAGTAGGAGCTCTCACTTGAGCACGTCACAGCGAAGGCGCAAAACTACAGGGAGACTATTCTCTGACCCACGAGTATCTACAGTAGTTAGTTCTGAAATAATCACGACTTCAGTAATGAGCATAGAGAGTTTCCCGTCTACTTGTCAATAATGGGAGTGATAGAATCTTCTTCTTACAAACGAATCTATTTGCGGGGTTTGTCCGGAACGCACGTGGTGAAGGGGCCGGGGCTTGAGGCTGACGTCACGCAGATACTAACGCGCTAATCTTGTGCACAAATAAATAAATAAACATTTACTGCCAAGTCTCCTGCTCAAACACTCGGCTTATGCCTCACAGTGTGCACAATTTTAGACACAGATCAACACAGCCCCCACGCCATAACGTTGGTCAAATGTCAAGTCCTTACGATAAAGGCATTCCCCACGCACCGCCCTAGATACATCATTTCTATATTCTCAAAGTTGAATGCAGCCAAAGCAGGGTGCCTCTGGCCTTTTGTTTTACTCGCATAGTGGTGCTAGAAGTCGGTTTATGGAACAAGCTAAAAGGTTCGCGGTGCGAATTTTGCGAATACTGAAGCATGAACCAGTTCAGACTTCAATGTCCAAAACTTCACAACTTGGGCAGAAACAAACATATTTATGCCAGTTAATACAAGGGAGGAACCGACTAAAAACATGCGCGCACTGGACACAAACAAATACACATATAACAGCATGGAATCCGTTTGATTACAGCTATGTAATGTATGTACAGTCTCGTAATGCACATGTGGCAGAGAAACAGGTCCTTTCTGACCACAGTTCACCTCTCGTTCTTCGAATCACTCCTGTTTTGAGTATTCAAGTCAATCGTATTGTGCACTTACCACGTGCTTTCTGTTGCAGAGCTTGTAAGTCTAAAAACTTGGCCGCCTCCGAGGAGCGTTTCGATGCTCATCCCGAACTTGCTAGATTTGTAAAACCGCGAGAAAAGACAAGCACAAACGCGACACTGCGCTGCCTAGCTACTATTAAAACCGGCGAAGAGGTTCCCAGCAAGAAATTGGGTAGATGTAATAGGACACCCCACCGAGCAGAAACTCCACCATTTTTCGTAAGCAGCTTATCAAGCAAGATGGCCGCTTAATGTTAGTACTAGCACAGGAGACTAGGAAACGATAGGGTTTATGTTCATGCAGCGTCTGAGAGCTCCTCTCCCTCTCACACTAAAACCATGCGCTAAAGGGGGACGATGTGAACAGAACTGGAGCAAGAATACTGGCAATTTGACAATAATCATTTTTTTATTGCCATTGTAAATGGAGGGTCACAAAACTAGAAAATCGCGCCAAATCCGTGCGTCTATATCTAAACCAGAGGCCCTCCAAACATGTCGCTCAATTTTTACGTTGCGCAGATTCGCAGTCGCCACTGCCTAGTAAAAAGATCTTTATTTTGATCACATATTAAAGGTGAAACAGATGTACAAGTTATCCCCCCACTAAAAAAATAAAAATTATCTATAGTATTATATATATATAATATAATAATAATATAATATATCCTATAATAACTAATATTATTATATATAATCATTATATATTATAATTATATATAATAATAATATTATTATATATATAATAATAATAAATATATATAACTAATAATATATATCTCTAAATTATAATTAATATATATAAAATAATAATATATATATATAAATTAGATTTGATATAATTCATCCGATGGCCCAGAATCGGACCCTTGGAAACATGTTACTGCAAATACAACTATGGACATAAATGCAGTATTTCCTTCATCTAGTTGATGCAGTCGGTATTTATACATAAAAGACGTACGTGGATAAGTTGTAAATAAACAAAATTCAAGAGTTGGAGTACATATCACATGTAAACAGGATAATAAATTTCCCTATTTAAAAGGAATCAGTAATTTAACTTCCAAAAGTACAAAGACCTCGAGTTATTAAAGTTATGGTCCAGTTAAGTCCAGTGCTTTTTCCCTCCCGTGTGTCCTTATCATTCCATGTTAAGAGGCGGGAAACACAAAAAATAATAGTGTTATTTGGTGTGAGACTATAGATGGTTTCGGCTCCTGAAAGACGTGAACAAACCAAGATATCACGAACACGTCTGTCGTGGAGCAGTATACCCACGCGCCAGATAAATTGTAATACCAGATATAAAAATGTACATAATAGTAATATTGTCAGAATATTACAACTTTTGTGATTTCCCCTAGCATTGACTACACGGTGTTTGAATCACGGAAGAAAATAAAGTGTGGCCCTCTTGTGCTTTACAGGTGTGTTCAGTCAGGTAAAATGCATGTAGTCCTTTGAGTTTCAAGTGTTTATTACTGCAAAATTTGCTGAGAAAAAACATTAAAAGTCACTTGAAAAAAAAGAATGAAAACTAATGTGGAAAGTGTCACACTGCGATAGACGCTCGCAGTGTTTTCTTGACGGAACGTGACAGAGTTGGTTCATAAGGTCTCTTGTTCTGACCTCGACCCCTGTTGCACTCTCCACCAGTACATCTTATTCTCAAACATCACATTCAGCAACCATTTGAATAAAAAACAGTCCGCTGCACCAGGGCTGCTGGGATTCTGTAAAAGGGAATCGATATTCTGTATCAGCTTCCAGAACCTGCTGCGGCTCAAATGGCCGAGGGTTCTTCTCTTGGCACGGTGGGCTGGGTTTGACACGTCCCGATCTGTCATTATTGGCGTGTCACTTGTATGAGGGATGTGGTTGGCTATAGATGCCCAGCTAGCGTTTTGGAGACTTTGTCGTTGCTCTTGGAATCTCTCTCAACTGCCGTTCTTGTTCACGTCGTCTTTGGTTCCATGTATCCATGTGTTCTCCACCAGCTGCATATCAACAGGCTCTTTTCTTGCTTTCGCACAGGGAAACTTGTTTAATGAGAACCTGGAGAAACAATAAGATTTTAGATAGAAATATGATAACAGTGGGGCGCTAAAAAAGTATTTAGTCAGCCAACGTTGTGCAAGTTCTCCCACTTACAAATAATGCCCAGAGGTCTGTAATTTTCATCATTGGTAAATTCAACTGAGACAGATTCGTGCGAAAAAAAAAAATCCAGGAAATTCACAATTGTTAGGATTTTTTTAAAGAATTTATTTGTAAGTTATGGTGGAAAAATAGTATTTGGTCACTTCAAACAAAGGAGATTTTTGGCTCTCACAGGACCTGTAACTTCATCTTTAGAAGCTCTTCTGTCCTCCACTCGTTACCTGTATTAATGGCTACCTGTTTGAATCGTTATCTGTATAAAAAGACACCTGTCCACAGATCAAAACAGTCAGACTCCAAACTCCACTATGGCAAGACAAGAGGCTGCCGAAGGACACCAGGGAAAAGAATTGTAGACCTGCACCAAGACTGGGAAGATTGTCTTATTCAATAGGCAAGCAGCGTTAGGGGAAAGGTGTGAACAAATCAACTGTGGGAGCACATTATCCAACGAAAATGGAAAAAAGGACATACAAGACCACTGATAATCTCCCTCGATTGGGGCTTTCACGCAAGAAGATCACATCCCGGTGGGGGTCAAAATGTTCAAGAGGATCGGTCGTTCAAAGAATCCCAGAACCGCACACGGGGGGACTGGAGAATGACCTGGCAGAGAGCTTGCGGACAAAGTAACAAAGGTTCCATCAGTAACCACACTCCGACGACCAGGGAATCAAATCCTGCTGCAGTGCCCCCCCCCCACACCCCCCTCCCCAGAGTGTCCCCCTGCTGAAGCCTGTGCATGTCTCAGGTCCGTCTGAAGGTTCCTTTGCCAGAGATGCCCAAGGATGATAAGCCGAGGATTGGGAGAATGTCATGTGAGTCAGAAGAAACCAAAGTTTGAACGTTTGGTATAAACTCAACTCGTTGTGTTTGGGAAAGACAGAATTACTGAGTGGCATCCCAAGAAACAACCAACCCTATGTGAAGCATGGGGTGGAAAACGTCTGCTTTTGGGGCCGTTTTTTTCTGACTAAGGGGACAGGGATACAACGAATCGTGTGAATGAAATGGCCGGGCCCAATGTATCGTCGAGATTTTGAGCCCATAAACCTCCTTTCGCTCCATAGTGTGGAGCTTTGTAAGATGAAAACGTGGCTGGGGTTCTTCCAGCATGACACAGGATCCCAAACACACCGCCGCCGGCAACGACAGGAGTGGGCTCCGTAAGAAGATTTGAAAGTCCTGGAGTGGACCTAGCTCAGCAGTCTCCAGACCTCATAACCCCAGTGAAAATCTGTGGAGGGAGTTGACGTCTGTGTGGCCTGTCAGTAGTTTTAGTGGGAAATAATTTGCACAATCTGTGGCATGACTAAATTCTTTTTTGCCCCAATGTAATTTTTTAAATAGTCCTGTCACAGTATGCTAATGTTTGTTATGTATTTTGTGTTTCGATATGGGTTACTCTCTCCTGTCGTTCATTAGTTCTTTTGCTCGTTTTTTCTTGTTCTTCTTTTATTTTTTTTTGTTTTTATTTTTGCTCTTGGTTTCTTTTGCATCTGTGGACCTGCTCCTCCCTCCTGGATGACGGCCCCCCCATCTATCCCGTTGGCGCTCTTCTATCGCCAGGTAGTGGCCATTGGGAGCTTCAACAATATCGCGCAAGGGTCCCACTCTACCTCGTCGCGTCGGACAGCGCGTTCTAGCTTGACGATTAGCGCTCGTCTTGATCGCACTCCGGCGACGATTGTTCTCTAGAGGGATTCTATGCTGTAGAGAGACTTCTGTCCGTGTGATTTCAGAGAGAGATTTCCCGTCTTCGGCCCAATGAGAGTCACGGTATTGCTAACCCGACTGTGTTTCCACCCCGATCCTCGCGTTGAGGCTTTCTCTGGGCCTGTGTCTCTCGCTCCGCCTGGTCTTGGGCGTGCGGTTCTCGGAGAGGGGGCGTCCATATGTGAGGCTCGCCAAATTGAGTCGAAACGGACCAGAGAGTCCCACTCTCCTTCTCGGTCGTTTGTTACACGTGCGAGTGCTTTATGCTCTCTACCACCTCCAGTGATCTACGTAGACTGTTGGCTTAGCATATCGTTCCTCGTATTGTGAGGGGAGCCCCAGCTCGATCATCGCCTGGAGGATTGATTTGTTTTTCCTGTTTTTCCTATGCTCTGTGTTTTTTGCTCCTTAATCTCTGATCTTATGTAACGGTCTCTTGTGAGACTAGCTTGCCTTCCCGCTTCGCCCCGGAGCCTGGGTCGACCCGTTGGTGAGGTCTCCCCCTTCCCTGTCCCGGCGACCTCGGAGCTGTGCCGTACCGCTTCAAGCATGGCTTCTGTTGCTCTCGTGCAGTTCTCTAGGAGACGTTGGGTCTGTGGGACGCTGTTGTCTTTTTTGACCGATGATGGATTCCGAAGTACTGAGAATGGCGAAGCACGATGCAGCGATCGTCTCTGTCCGTAGTCGTTTTATACCCTTGAAGGGACGGAGCAGTGGACGCCCTGTACAATCTATCTCTTTCGGTCCCCGCGGTGGTGTTGATGGTTGAGAGTAATCGCGGAATAATGTTAACGCTGTTAAATGTATTATGTGTGTTGGTCTGTGTGAAGGTGTGTTAGGTGTGTGTAGGTGTGTTCAGGTTGTGTTGTAAATATATCAAAGGTAAGACGTTTTGTGTAGTGTGTGTCTTTTGAGTGCACGTTTCTTGCTTTGCGTTTACTTCACAAATGTTTGCTCACAGTAGTCATAATCTTTTGATTTCTTAACTATTACCTTATGTGGTACCTGACTAGATAATTGTGGAAAGGTTTACAGCGTTATTATAAACACTTTTGGAAAGTTCAGACTGTGTGTTCTCAACCTGAGGGACAGGGACAGCCCATAGGTGAATCCAAAAGGTTGCAGAACAATATCTGACGCATGTGACATGATCGAGAACTGTTTGTGCTGATGCTAGACTTACTAGTAGCTCATGTGGAGACTTGTCCCACGATGAGCAGATGACAGACTCACAGGACAACTTCCAGTGCAGCGAGCGCTGAGGCTTTTGTCTGGAGGCGATTTAGCCCACCTCTGGAAGCCAGTGACCGACCAGCGAGTTTCCGGGACTTCTCCAGTTTGCGTTTCTTTGTGGGCGGAGGGGACTAAAGGGCGAACACTTTAGTTTGACTTGCAAATTGCTTTACAGTCCAACTACAGTAAACATACACGATTTGGTAAGTATTTTATCCACGTAACCACCGTTTCAGAGGGGCGTTCTGACGGTACTACAGCAATAGGACGAACAACCTTTTGCACATCGTGTCCATGTTTAAGACCAATCGATCTATTTTTGATTGTTTCACAGAAAAGTGGGGCTTGCACAACTATTTCACAGTAAATTAGCCTTTATCACTTCTGACACAAATGTTGACCACGCAACATTTCCTTCTAAAACGTAGGGGGTGTAGCGAGTTAGAGACTAATCTAAGCCATTGAGCAGAAATTCAATAATCAAACACAGATGCTTGATGCTCAAAACCACTGCTTACATTCTTGTATTAATCATGGTTTGGTTAATGAACCTTTGGCCTGCTACAACAACATACTGCATTTTACACGTCATTGACCTCTGCTTCTATATCCCTAAACAGAGAAAACAACTGCGTATGAGTTTTAACTTCCAGTCTGTAGTTGACATTTAACATATCTTTGTTCCATTCAAACCTATGTTACTTGGGTGAATTGTGAGAACATGGTGAATAAATGATCTGATTCTTGAAATCATAATTCTATTTTTAATAACTCCAGATTCCTGTCATGGAGCCTTAACATTCTTCCGCCGCAAAATTGCATATATTTGGAGACAATCAGCACAGTGAGTTTGTGCTTAATATATTGAGTGATCTTGCAAACAAAAAGACAACCACTGGTAGATTGACTATCACTGCAAATTTAGCGGACCCTCCTGCAACGAGTTGATGCATCGTAAGAGGCTATCACCCTCGTAATGAAGATATGTCTTGGATAACCCAGGTGGGACGGTCATGCATTTGCTGGGAAGAGAAGAGATCCAATCTTAATATGGATGTTATGAGCCAAAATTTTAAATAAAAGTCGACAAACATTGGTTCTACACTTATCTGCCAAACATGCTGAAACCACCCAGGTTGAGTCAAAACTAATATATTAGAAGCATCATTCATATTAAAGTCCCTGTTTGAAAAAGACATACAATATGCTCATGTAGCATCTGAAGCTGGATTTGATCTTGTACTATAGGTCACAGCTGCTGTGCATTTCACATTGCCTTCATTGGAACAAAACATTCAGACCAAATCATAAAACTAACGACGTTCATCACACACACACCACACTTCAATGGACAGAGCCATGTTTGCCCTATGCCTACAGTAAAACACTGCTGTGTACGCATGTGCAACACAAGGGAGACCCACCACTTCCAGGGTATTGACTGATAATGATGCTATGAGCAGTCCTCTGTACTGGCGGAGCGATGGGGGACGGGTTTGGAGCAAATATAGGCCAATATTTTCTGCACAACTGCTTTTAGGTCGAACAAGCCACAAAAGGGAAAGGTCAATCTAGGAACTATGAACAAGATTTTAAAAAGATGGTTGTTGAAATCATATGATAATAACAGTGATTCCTCAATGGTTCGGCCACTTAGTCTTTCACACACAAAAATGGAACCAATAGTCATATATTTACGCAATTACACATTCCATATGTTCAAGCAATCAGAAAGCTAATTTAAGACACACGAGCCTCTCAGTTGTAGCCAGTTCCTTGGTGCCACTGGGAGCTGCCCACGTTCAACAAACGCAAACAAAATTCTTACTATAACAACAGTATGCTGCAGAATCAATGCCCTTTTGTCCCGAGCAGAATATAGCTTAAGACAGGACCGAATTCAAGTTTTGAATTGTCTTTTTTTAGAGTGAACACTTTACGTTGATCACCATAAAAAACAAGCGAGACTTACCGGAACCTACATCGTCATAAAAGCTACTCCTGGCCAATGCCCATCGCGCAATTGTCACGCCCCTGGCAGAACTCTTGTATAGGTCACTTTGGGCCACCTGCGGTGAAGTACATCATAAATGGTGACAGCCAGGGTTTACTTTTTAGTGGACTAGCACAATATTACTGTGGCAGTGGACACAGAGGCCCACAGAGCCACAGAACCCAGAGTGCTGGGACGCGAGGGTCCGCTGACAAAATAAAATACATTTGTGAACGTGTTAATAAAATCATATCAGGAGGGAAAGGGTCTGGGCGATATGGAAAAAAAAGGAAACGAGAAATCCGATTTTCCAATTTTAAATTGCTTGTTTTTTCTATTTAAAAACAAAACTCGAAGAAGACAAAGAAATTGACTTTTCTTTATGCAGTTTATCTAAATTTCCCCATGGAACATTAAGTTGTAACAGGAATTATAGGCTTAACATGCTTGTAAAAGAGATGGCCCTGACATGGTAAAAACAGCAAAAATGTAGCTTATCAGATTTCTAATACTTCACTTGCACGAGACATAATGCACCTGCATGGCAAACGTGATGGGCCATAGCAATAATATATCCATCGTATTAAACACAAAGGATTATTTTACATTAATTATCACATTTTTAAACTATGATTACTCAAAATACAATTGTTATAACAGAAAAATCTTTTACATAAGCCCCTCTCTTGGGTTTTCAAGACTTGTTCTTTCAACCATGTCAGAGCCAACTGAGGCCTGATAGTAAAACGCTAGGTCCAAGCTACGGTTGGCGTAATACTACTTTAGTGACTACTGCCGTTGTGCGAGTTAAGTTTTCCGTTTCTTTCCAGTTTTCATTTCGCTACTGTAGCGCTAAGCCTAGTGTATACATTGCGCTGGGTTTGGCCTTACGTTAAGCGGTTTTGCGGTGGACCTACGTACAGGCGCGTTCCCCATTTCCGGAGTTTTGAGGAGAATGTTGTATCCACAAACTAACCACATGAGGCGCGATCACACAGGAGCCGGTCCCATTAGCTGCCTACTTTGTTCCTCTTCAGACAAAACAATAAGCAAAGAGCTCATTACATGTGTTTCCTACTCGCAGGTTTATGTGATTGTTTTATGGATTCATTAGTTGTATACGTCATCTTCAATGTGATGCTGTGAATAAAGACACAGTTTCGTGTTGGAAACCATAGTTCTATTATTAAATAGTTTTCAGCACAACAGCAAAACAAAAATAATAGTGTTAATATCTGAGACAAACATGAACGATTTACGAGTGCAGCGAGAAAGCAACAAAAGCGAGACAGGAAACATTGACAAAACAAACGACTGCACAGTCTTCCTAAGTGTATATACATGATGTTAGATAGTCCCAGTCACCTGTATGATCAGGCTCTGAAGCCCAAACTGCTTTTCCTTTCGAGAGCACAAAGCTCTGCTTCATAGATCCATTGTCCTGCATGCAGCCGCTCCGTGCTTCACCCACTTCCATTACACACAACACGGGCCAAATCACAGCGGTGATTCTTTGCGGGCGACCCTTACGTAGTTAGAAAATTCGATGCTGTCGCTGGCAGCGAAATCGTACAGGGCCCTTGCGGTGGCCCAAAGCGTTGCGCAAGTGACGTCACGTCACCTCTGTAAGGTCCGCGTTCCTCTCCGCCCGCGAGTATAAACTAGGCTTAAAGATGAGCACGGAAACACGTTGTTTGTATCAGGTGCAATGTGGCAATTGTGAGACGTGTCTCACTAATAAGCACATCTTATCTTATCTTATCCCAGAACTGCAGCAGCAAAAGTGAGGACCCGTGTGTGTGCGCCAGTGGGGCGCGGTCCCCGGCTCAAAAGTTGTGCCAAAAATGACGTGCGCTGACATGCTTTGTATCCCAATCAGGCCGCCAATGGCAGGCGTGGACCCGGAATAAGGAATTAGTCAATGCGAACATTTTGCATCTTTTACCTCTCGAACACACCTTTATAGGATAGTCCAAAGTTCATGTGTGTCAATGCTGAGTGGAGAAGAATTTTTTTGACCGTCTAGTTTACTCGTTTAACATGAATGGGGATCGTGCCGGTGACACAAGCGCTAGATAGGTTTTTCCTCATTTTCCAGCCACCGCGGCATTTTGAATCACTCCATGAAGTCCAACGCGCCCTGTTGGGAGCTAAAACGAGCGGTGAGCGCTGAGACTGAATTAATGAGACTGAAAGAATGAATGATTGGCATCATCAGCAGCGCGACCTGGAGCAGGCACGGATTTACGAGTCTGTTGATGTGTTTCTGGCCGATTCAATAAGACTGATTCTTAACCGTCTAAAGAGTTAGTGCAAAAGCACCAA